ACACTATTACCAGTAGGAGCACACCAAGCTTTTCTCCGAAGTTTTTACACACTATTACCAGTAGGAGCACACCAAGCTTATCTCCGAAGTTTTTACTCACTGTTACCAGTAGGAGCACACCAAGCTTATAACATTAGATTTCCCGTGGGAATATTTTTTCATTCACATGTAAACTCATAATTTCAAAGTTATGAAGAAAATATCTAATCAAGTTATAGAATTGTGTTTCAAATCGAAATTGACCATGTTTTCTGAAATTTTAACGGTTTCATAAATTTGTTTTCACATTCTTACTATTCAGCAAATTTTTGTAATGTTCTACACCTGCATATTTAATCTCAAGAAGAAAAAGAAAAGTATATCCTCAAGTTGTCCGTTTTAGTGAATAACCAGGTCGTGGGAGAGTATTGGAGATAAATGTAGGTATTCAGAACAATCTGTAAAGATAATAAAGTTGTTGTATCTGCGTAGTACAAGGAGCAGGGCGGTGCTAGCGTGAACGCATGCGCAAGTCGGCTAGAAACGAATCTTACCGGCAACAGTTCGGTAGAGTTTAACTTGGTCGCAATCAGCCTTCTACAAATTCTAGTCACACTTGGGCAAGAAATGTCTTGAGTAATGGAAGTTTTTCTGTATGGGTGTTTTTGTCAACATTTTTATATTAAGTCAATTAAGTATCATTCAAAACTTGTTGTCTTATATGGTGAGCGTATCCCATAATCCCCAGAATGAGTATTACATCATGGACTGAATGGCTTCTTCTTCACATATTGCTCACTATAATATGTAAGTGTACCTATGTCCTTATTTACGTAACTATAAGTTTGTGATACAAGTTCATATTTTCAAATGAATTTGGTTTCTTTCTAATTGTTCCAATTTTTTGATGAGATTTTATTATTTAGGCAAACCCATACTGGTGTTATTAAGCGGAGTAAGCTGAGTAATAATTTGCAGAAAGAAATTCAGAGGACAGTCTGAAGATAATTATATAAATAATATTACTTAATAATATTATAATATTATAAATTACTATTAGATATTAAACTTCATATTTGATTAGAAAGATTTTATTCTGAATTTATGTCTGAAGCTATTATAGTATAGCATAATTGTAATCATTAGTGTATCTCAATTTTTTGGTCTGTTCGTATGGGAATTAGATATTGTGGTAATTTAGCGGCATACTTCGACGTCGTGTTAAAAAAAAACTAACATTTTATACATTTTCACAACATCCTGTTTTGCTATTTTAGCGCTATTATAATTTGTAGTGGGGTGTTACAATGCAATTTCGTTATTTATCTACGCATATATAACAACTTAGATTATTCACAACTAAAATACAGTGGTGACACCGAATCAATGCAAACTTTCAAGACCAAATATTATTTTCCCTTGAACACATGGGTGTTCATACGACAAGAATCGCTGGTTGTGAAGACTAAATATTTATTAACTTGTAGTCCTTATTTTTGTAAATCATTTTTGTGTTTCCACTAAATCTTGTTGTGTATATAGTCTATTAGCCCAGTGCATACGCAATAATAACATTTGTCCTCCTTACATGCCACAGTTGTTACAATTTAAAATGACATCAATATATATTCAAAGACAAAAACACTAGTTCTCACACACGTACCTCGTTCATTGTTGATTGTTCAAAATTAAATGTTTGAATAGCGTGTTGATAACATTTAACATACAAGGTTGAGTACGTTATAGTAAACGATTTTGAAAATGTAGATCACTTGACAACCATAGTCGATATAAATATATGGTGGAACGGCATGTATTGAATATATATTTTAACATCATTTGGTGTTTCGTAGGTAGTATAATGCCACTTAAAATATATCGCAAAACATTCATACACTCGGATCATAAAAATACTTTTAATCGGGGATTTATAATTTCTATAGTTTCTAAGAAAGAACATATATTGGTAAGCAAAACGTGACGTTTTGTCAGGTGAGAATCCACCAACACAATGTTCAGTGGCAAAAGTCGTCCACGTGTACCAACCAATAGTAAGTAACATAATCAAGAAGAATGACCCAAGTCACGTGGACACAAGTTGCTTCAACAACATGCAAGTTCAACCTTAAGCAGTTTGGAGATCAAACCAGTATTCAAGTTATTTCGTACAGCCGATTCGCCAGGAGAAGCGCTTATGTATTTTTTGTGCGATCGGAATGTTGAAACTGGCGCTTGAAAACCGTCATCCTCGTGCACTAGATAGATTTGGTAAAACAGCAGGGATAAAATGTGTGATTTGAGCATGACAGCCTTTCGACAGAGGTTTTTGCAATGAAAACTACGCTGTATGGTTATTACCAAGTTGCAAGGTCGTTAGATAGAGAAAGACTGGCAGTGGCGACGTGGTGAGGTTCCAAAATAGTTTTAATATAATGTACTCAATTTCTGTATTACACAAAAAAATCTGACAACAAACGCGGACATGCAAGCAACTTACAATATCATGTAAGAAACTTTGCTGCACTTTTGGTAAATTAAACTTTTGTAAATACATAATCACATGTGTTTTTTTTTTTCGATAATGATCAATGCATAGCACTTTCACATTTTACTTTACATGACAATGTCTCTCTGTCTCTATAGGCTGTCAGTAAAATTTCAATGAAATATGTAATCAGTTGTCTAAAGGTAAATTCACAACAAAAAGATGTAATCATCTTTGTATTGTAAGCTTTATATTGTATTTATGTCTTATTTTTCCATATCTTAAAAAACTGTAAACGGCAAGTTTAGGGAACCACTAGACATCTAGAGTTCTTTTCTTCTTTGTTTTGAATTTCGCGAAAAGCTACGCGAGGGCTATCTGCGCTAGCCGTCCCTAATTTAGCAGTGTAAGATTAGAGGGCAGGCAGCTAGTCATCACTACCCACCAACTCTTGGGCCAACGAATAGTGGGATTGACCGTCGCATTATAACACCCCCACGGCTGAAAGGGCGAGCATGTTTGGTGGGACGGGTTTCGAACCCGCGACCCGCAGATTGCGAGTCGAGCTCCCTAACCACCTGGCCATGCCGGGCCCATCTAGAGTTCAGGTATATCTGATCACAATTTTACATTACTGACAATAAGCTCAAGTTTAAATGAATGAGCAATCGGACAGACAATTCAAGTTTGGCAGCCATTTCGATTTTACAGCTTCAATTCTGTGAATGAGGCTCATTTGAGTGATGTGGTCGATAATGAAATACATAAAGCCGATGTTTATTACCGTTTGTAGCATGGGTACCTTTGCATCTAACGAATGGTTCGTGTGCTATGTCTCAAAATAGAGTAAGGAAGCAGACAACTCTGCCATTTATAGCATTACCTTTTAAACTCGGCATTGGCAGGCACTTTTACTTATAATTGCTAATTGTTGAGTGTCTCGCTATTTAATCTAGTTAGGCTTACCATCTAGCTTCTGTGTTCTGTGTCTTTCAAATACTCTAAGTATATTAGATGTTAAACTGACACTTTTCATACTTGCTCAAAATGCAAACTTAAAAAGTACCAAGAAAAAGGTTTTTATTTTAAGGTCTGTAAAAAAAATTCACTTTTCTTTTAATTATCCAACATACGACAAGCAAAATTCTACAGATTAAAATCATTTTGTGTACAAATGCGAATTTTGTTTCATTCTTAGAACATTTTTCTTATCTTCCATGTAGCAGCGGGTCTGCAGATAGAGCCAAAGTATCAAATTGATATCATTGATGGACTACACGTTTTCAACGCCACCTATCGAGGTTTAACCTTAGTAGAAGGATTTCATAAGTTGTCTCCAGCTGTAAAATTAATAGGTAATTACTTGCATGTATATTCGAATATTTATTAGAAAAATGTGAAAAATTAACAAGTATTTTCATACATTTCTTCTATTCTGGAAATTTGTTCAAAATGTTTTAGAGAATTACTTGTAACTGCTTGATTAGAAACTAAATTTTATATATCTGACATTTTGATGGTTACCCACTATGTATTTTGTTGCTAACCATGGTTTTGTTTCTTATTATTTGCAGACTTAGAATCAGCATAATGTTTTTCACTTTATTTATTCATTTAAAGATAAACGTTAATTGCTTAGTATTTTCAGTGTCGTATAATTACTGCATTGAAGTAGGATGTAGCAGTCATGATATCAGTGGTGTAAGTATGCCCCTGCAACTCCTGCAATTGCGGGGAGGGAGAAGCTCGAAGAGCCTGACAAACTTGAGAATTACCAATTAGCATAAAGGCAAAATTTAATTTGTTTGAACTAAAGGGTGGTTGCACTATTTTGTTAAGCTAATGATATAAATCAGTCAGAATCGTAAATAGAATCATAGGGAAATAAATGTAGGGATCCAATTACTTTTTATGCGGGGGGAGGCATCTTTTTTGGTTACGCCACTGCATGATATGTGGTGATTTTGTCTTTTGGTAATATCATACTACAAGGAATTGTTGTAATTGGTGTTGTGTAATAAAATTCTGATGCCAATTTCTTCACCCACTTAGGATACGATAGGCAGCTTCTTCTTCCGCCAGAGGTCTATGATAAAGCAGCTGGAATACTTTCGCAAAGTAATGAGTTCACGCTCATGGTTACGCTTAAGCAGAAGCAAAAAAATACAGGGACAATATTTGGATTTTCAGAGGGAAACAACAGGTAAACTCCGATCTTCGACATTTGTGCTACATTAATTTATTGAGAAATTGTATTATTATATTTCTCTTCTTTTTTTTTTAAACGTTGCTTTAATGTTTCTTCAGCATATGTTTACGGTACACATGATTCACGTTATTTGGGGTTGCTTTAAAAATCGCAATTTTTATACTACAATTTATTAAAATCATTAGACATAGTGTAAAACACTTGAATAATATTTAGATCTCATATCATATCTCTGTGCATCGCTTGAATTTATTTTACATTTAATTTCTGATCAGCAGTGGTCTGAGGACCTAAAACGCTAAAAATTGGGTTTCGATACCAGGGGTGGGCAGAGTACAGATACCCTATTGTGTAGTTTTGTGCTTGACATAAAACGATCACACTTTTAACTACTATAATTGATGTTTGAAATTAGATTGATTGGAAGCAGTTGTATTAACAACATGATTGATCATTCGGTTAGTCTCACATTTTAAAAACAGTTACTTAATGATATATACATGCAAACAGCCTGTGTACTTAAGTTTGTTAGAATATCACCAGATAACGTTCAATATTGACCCTTGGGGTGGTCGACATATGCCCTCGCACAGGACATCTGCCAAAGGACGCCAAAATTTACATTGCAATTAGCAGTTCGGGGACGCCAAATACAAAATTCGCACATACTACATACTGATATCGATAGTAGCAGAGAATAACACCAACAAGATTTATGTCGTTTATTCAGTTTGTGACAAAAATTGGAATATCTAGGCGCGGTCACATTATATATTTTCAACGTATTTCAGTACCAGAAAATGTTTTAAATAAACACGCTTACACCGAGTTGCAAATTATTTAATATCCTTACATCTTTGATGAGTTAAAGACAACATTGTGCAAGCGTCGGAACTGTTGATGTTGAGCCTTATTTATGCCAGTAGGAGTCTTACACAATTAATAAATGGAATTGTTTTTTGATTTTTTCTAAAGAGTAATTTTGTTTAGTGGCATAAATGCTTTGAGAAGTTAGATTTGGTTTGAATGTATTCTTATCTTTGTCACTGTTACACAATCTTATGCATGTCAGAGCACTGTTCTTGTTCACTAAATTGTTATTTTAATTTTCATTTCATTTCAGGTTTCTTGAAATACAGAGTAGTGGCAGGAAAGACGAGATACGTCTACATTATACTCATAATAACATGGCTTACACAGAAACATTTCCTTATCGCCTAGCTGACGATAACTGGCACCAGGTAGCAATATCTGTTAGTGGCAATGCTGTCGATTTGTTTGTAGACTGCAATCGTATTTATAGGCGGGTGATTTTGGATGTTGATCGAAATATTTCTTCAAGAAACACTTCACTCTGGCTGGGCCAGAGGAATTTAAGGCACTTTTTCTTCCAGGTTTGTATAATTTTTATTCAACACACTCTTGAGTGTCATTGTTGACAGTGACGTGTTTAGAAACCATTCATTCACATTACTTACTTATAGTAATGAAGGGGAAGTTTCATGCAATAATATGAATGTGTATGCTTTTATTCAGGAATTGTGGCTATCACCATCATGTTTTTAACAGTTGTTAAAATTACGATTTGTTCAAAATTATATTGCTGTTAAACAAATAATTTTACCCACTTCTTTGAGTCAGGAAATATAGAAATACAAAATATTTAGAATTGTATTTATTTAAAGTTTTTTTTTTATAGCTATTAAAACTTTTATTAAGAAATTCAAGTACTTCCAGTTATTAGATACTTTTTGAGAGAAAAAAAAAGAAAGTCAAAATGTTACTTGAACAAGAATAAAATGCAAATTAATTGATGTGCATGTATTAGTAACTTTGCATCTTGATTATGGTATACTGTCAGTGTTCGATCTAAAAATAAAGCCCAAATTTGTCAAGTTGTAGTAAAATTTATGAAAATTAAACATCTAGTCACTGTCATAAGATATTGCGTGGAAGAAAAATTGCATTTATTTAAATTCAATTAAAATTATAGAGAAGTCTTTCACACATGTTAAATTGTGAACATTTTAAAGTAACTTTAATTATAGTTTTCATAAGACATTCAACTATTAAATGAAATACTTACAGGAACTATACACACAAATTTAACATTTGAAACAGAGTTTTATCATGAAAGACATTTTACTTTATTTCATAAAAGTTGTAATCATTTGAAAGGTTTTTATAATGAAAACGGTATTTTATAGGGAGTTTTACAGGATGCAAAAATCATTGGAAGGTCACATGGATATACTATACAGTGCCCTCATCTTGATACAGGTATGTTTTATATAATACTATGATAAAACACTCAGTAAAGGTGTTTTTTAATATGAAACATACTGATAGCACCAAAACTAAAACATTTTGGCAGTTAACTTTTGAAGGTTTATATGTATAAGTATCGTTAGTGTGAAGGTTATAGTATCACAATGCAAGTTTTAAGTTATATTCCCATCTATTATGTCTGTTTCAGTTGAGATAAAATAGTGTTGAGTATAAGCATGCTGCATGTTGATAACAATGTGTGGAAATGTAAAATACACACTTAATTTTTATTTGTCCATAAATATGTTAATAAAACTCAACTGGATCAATTACAGACAATTCTGTAGAATTCATGCAGTGTTTTTGTGATTTTAATGTAAGTGGTATTAACTTTCCCTATATTTATTGTTTGCATTTATTTTCTCTTTTGTTATTTTTTATTTTAATAGACTGTCCAACATGTGGTCAGTTTAGGCAGTTGCAAATGTCTGTTCTCCATTTGGAAAATTATGTGAAATCATTAACAGAAAGGGTATGTATCTTGTTATTCACAAAATGTTTTCAAAAATGCTTTTGAAATGTACTAGTTCACATGAACTAAGAAAACTGTTGTACTTATTAATCTAGCTAGTTAATGATAAAGATTGCCTCCTAATGGGGTTAGTTGTTATGCATTAAAATATTTAGAATATGGTTACAATTTGGTATAAGGCAGAAGTACCAAATTTTTATCCTTTAGAATTAGCTTGAATTTAACAGTTAACAGACTCTTAAAACCATAATTTCTTCTAATTTCCAGTGCCACTAATTTATTGCAAAATTATGCTGTGATAGTGATATTACACTTTTGGCTTTTAGAATGAATTGCCTAGAGATGTGGATGCAGTAAATTTTATGGAGTTTAAAGGAAGGCTTGATAAATACTTGAATGATAAGAGCTGGTTTTGAGGGTTTTTTAATAGTTTAGTAGATTGGAATGGCCTAGATGGACCAACAGGTTCCTTGTTGTCTGTCAATATGTTAAGATATTTACATACAACTAATGTTTTTTGTGGAGAAACTCTGGCAATAATAGAAACTAAATTCTTTTTCATGTAATGTAATTGTTCTCTTACATAAGGTAGTACTAATTCTGTTGATTACCTAAAAACATTAAACCTTAGGAAGTTGGAGCTAGCCACTTTGTTCAATACTTCACTGATATTACTGTCTATTATACACCTGCTAATTACAGTAAGTTTAAAATATTCCTTTACATGTTATTCTCTCATGTAACAAAAAATTAATTGCTTAAAATCCTCTAATCATAATTAATAAGAATTTTCAGTATTGTCAAAATTAAGATATAAACCTGAAAAAGTCAATGATTGATAAAATGTAGCTTCTATTTCAACTTTAAACCTTTTTAATTTTCGAATAGTTTACAGTTCCATACCTAGATTATTGTAGTTTTGCATCTGTATAAATATGAAAACATTCTTTTGATTACGAGTTTGTAATTCTAATATGTTAGTCAAATAACATTCTGTAAACTATCAGCTGTGGTAAATAGAAAATCCTTGTATGTTGGCATTTTTACATGTTCTTGAAATCTTGTAAAACATAAGGTATCATTTCAAGGTAAATTGTATAGCATAAAATGTTTTCATTTTCCAGTCTTGTATACTTTAGAACAGTTAAACATGCTTCTTAGATCTTGTAATCAAGGAAAACTTTGGTTATATTGTAAATATAACTTGCATATATCTAATGATTTATTCCTTTTATTTGTAATGAAGTAGTGATTAAATTCTTAAATATTAGCATAGGAAATTGCCAGACTTAGCTAGATTATTTCTTTCCTTTTAATAGTGGATAAAGGCTGTTTTAAAATAATCTTTGATTAACTCTGATCCAAGGTGCTCAAAAGTGTAAGAAATATTTTAATATATAAATTTCAATAAAAAATGCATCATCAGTTTAAATAGTAAAAAATCCAAGAAATTCATAACAAAACTTAGATGAAAATTTAACTCGAGCCAAAATAATAAACAGCACATGAACTATATGCAGAACTCTGAAGTGATTGTATCATTTTCTATCTCAAAGGTTTTATGCAGTTTATATATTCATTGTGTGAAATCTATACTTAACTATCTCATGAGCTAATTGTTTCTTATTAATTAATTTTCTGACAATATCTTAAACATTTCCTCAAAAGATAAAATGTAAAATGTTTTGTTTTTCAGTTAGCTCAGGCAGAGGAGAGATTGGCTTCTGTAGAAGAATGTGAGTGTCAAAACAACTGTTATGTAAATGGAACAGTTCATCTGGATGGCTTCTCATGGGAAGTTGGGTGTGAAGTTTGTTCATGTGTGGTAAGTTATTTGTTTATAAAGTGATGTGAAGTATGGTTTGAGTGTGTTAGGCTCTTTCTATAGGAAATTAACTTGTGTGGTAAGGTGTATGCTTAGGAAGCTTGGTGAAACACATGTTCATGCATTGTAAGTTATATGCAAACAAATCCTGGTATGAAATTTAGTTGTGTGATACATTCTTTGCTTAGGGGGTTGGTGTGAACTTTTATGGATGGGAAATTGTTTGGAAATTAGGTGTGCAGAATTTGCTCATGTGTGTTCAGATCTTTACTTAATTTCTTTAATTACTTTCAAGTGAGTTATTTTACATTTTGTGAGATTTTATGTTTGAAAAATGATATGTAATTATTTCTAATATTCTTAAGTTGACACTCACCTACCTGAGAAAAAATTAAAATCTAGAAATATTGTTACCTTTCTAACCATGAGAAGATATGTTGTTGTTGCAGTTGTTGAAGAGTAACTTGTTAAGCAAAATGGTTGATTTTAGGGACTTGTGTAAATTCAGGACCCTCTTTGGACACAGATTGCTAAAACATTTTGTGTATGTGTGTGTGTACATATATGCATATAAACAATTCAAAGTGAATATTTGTCAGAAATCTTAAATCCTTTACCAAACTTTTCATTATGTACCTGGTTATGTAGCATCAGAGTCTACTCTTCAGTATAAAAAATTATATAAACCAGAAAATGACTAAACACTTTTTTGAAAAATAATAAGTTTAAGTTTAAGAATTATATAAAAATATAGAAACTTTGTTTTTCAATTTGAATTCTTAATTTTTATATTTTTTACATTTTTAATTTTTTTAAATTAAAGAACTTAAGATAATTTACTTTTTTAACCTATTAAAAATGCTTAAAGTCTAAATTAACATCAGCTTTAAAATATTTTTAACGTTAATATTAAAATTACTATAGTATGATACAAAATTCCACAGAATACATAAATATTATTTTTTAAAAATGCTTTTCTTATTTTGTTTTCAATAACCTTAATGTTTCTTTAGTTATCTACAGTATATTTAAGATACATCTAAAATATGACTCTTATTTACTAAACATCTTGCCTCCTAATGGCTCTTAATAAAAAAATTAAAGAAAGAATTTTTCAAAGAATGATTTTTTTTTGGTTATAATTTCAAAGGGGAAACAGATCTTGAAAAATATTAATTCAATCCAGAATGTTTAGTAAACAGGAGTACAGAGGTTTTAGCACGTACTTTAGATTTATCTTAAGTATGTTGTGGATAATGAAAGAAACATTAAGGTTAATGAATAGAAAGTAAATAAAAACTTTTTCACAAATAATATCTGTTGTCTGTGAAATTTGTTTATTGTATTATAGTAATTTTAATGTTGATGTTGAAAATAATTTAATGTTGATATTAATTTGAAGACTTTTTTAGTTATTGTTTTATTAGTAAGATAGTTTATTTTGTGACCTAAGTTTTAAAAAAAAATTAAATCAAGGAATGTAAAGTTATAAAATTAAAATTGAAAAAAGACAAATTTGTATATTTTGCATGAATCTTAAACTTAAGTTTATTACTTTTCAAAAATAATTGTATTTAGTTTTTTCTGGTTTTTTATAGTTTTTATACTACATGAAGAGTAGTTTGTGATATTACAAAACTGATTTAATATAAAAGAATTTGGTAAATAAAGAACAGTTTAGTAAAAAAGGAATAGATTCAATTTTCATTTTTACATAATCTGTATAGTTAAAAAAATGCAAGTTCCCAAACGTTGAACAGTTATTTTGATAGTTGTTGAAAGAACAATGAATATAATATTAATTACATATAGAATACCTTTTTTGAGTATTCATCTGCATTTCTGCTCTGTTTGTCTTTATAGAGAGGAAAAACCACTTGTCATCATAAACAATGCAATGCAACATCATGTAAAAATCCTGTTCAGCTTTCAGGAAAGTGTTGCCCAACATGCCTGAGTAAGCATTTAGATGTTTCTGTATTTTTATAAGATTATTAATTTTTATATACACTTAGTTATATATGTATTCATTTTATTGAAAGTGGCACAGAAGTAATTTGTTATATAAAGCAAAAATGTTATTATAAAGATATATTTTAAAACACACACACACCTGTTACAACAGCAGAAGTCACGCGATGCTGGGAGCATGTGCGCTGGAGTTTCTAGAAGGATCATGACTTATCGAGGAACCTCGTGGATGTCCGAGTGTTTGCCAGGCGCCTTCTTTTTTAGTATATAAGCCTGGCAAAGAAAGCCAGCGGCATAGGCAGATAGATTGAAGATAGAAATAATTGAGTCAAGCAAACAGTAGGCACCGTAAGTACAGTGTGTGAATCACTGTGATTTATAGT